TCATAGTTGTAAGGGAAACTTAGCCCATGTTTGGCTCAACTAACAATTTGAATTAAAATTTAAGTAGAAATCAATAATTAATTTCAATCATATATTCCATCAACTTTTATCAAAATCTGTTAAAAATCCTATTTAAATGTCTACCAAATAGGATTTAGCATTTCTACATTTTGTTCATGCATGATCACGGTGTGTTTGTTATAAAGTACACATGATACTTGTTTCGTGATGATATTGCGGTGTGTTCGATATTAACATTTACTTTAGCATAACTCAGACCAGGGCTTAGGGTAAAGCCACTAAGGCAATGGCCTTGCGCCTCCAATGTTATGCATCGTCCTATTTTTATGTTTGTACCGTTGATAGAAGCTCTATATAATGGCTCAGTGATTGTAAATCAAATATGTGGCATAAGATAAATAAATGAATGCTCAGCTCCTTTAAAATCTTTCACTTCTCTATTTTGTTCATTTTTCATTTTTTGCTCTTTGTTGATTATTAGCAATGGTATTAGAGTCAGGGTTAAGAAAGGTGAGAATCCAGAAAATATAGTGTTGATAGTAGGAACAGAATTAGTAAAATAGAGAGAGTGGTGAGATAAGAAAATAGTGCAGCACAAGCAGTTCTTTGAGCTAAGATTGGAGAAGCAGCAGTCTTATTTTATTTTACTTTTCTTTTGCAGCAGCAAAACGATGGCAAAAAATAGTTTTCTTTTATTTTATTTTTTTTCTCTTGTAGTAGAAAAACGATGCCAATTGACACCTTCATTCAACCAGCTATTCCCCGCTTTGATGGTCAATATGATTTTTTGAGAATGTTAGTGGATAATTTTCTTAGATCCAAGGAGCAAGTTGTCTCCGAAGGAATTACGGAACCAATAGCAGGCACAATAATGACGGATGCACATAAAATGGAGTTAGAAGGGCAGTGGCTGAAAGATCTCAAAGCGAAGAATTATCTTTTCCAAGCAATTGATCGCTCAATCTTGAAAACAATTCTTTCCAAGGACACTTTTAAACATATTTGGGATTCCATGAAGAGGAAGTACCATGGTTGTGCAAGGGCCAACAATTAATTTTGTTGTTTTTTCCATAGAAAAATCTAATGATATTGATGAGCTTTCAATTGATGAATTACAAAGTTCTTTGTTGGTTCATGAGTAAAAATTTATCAGCAAGAGAAAGATGAGCAAGCACTAAAGGCCTCATCAGAAAATCAATTTAGTAGAACATATAGAGGACGAGGTAGAGGTCGACAACGACGTACAGACAGAGTAGGTAGAGAAAACAGTGATCGTGAAAGCCAACAACACCACCACCAGGACCAAGAGAATCAATTTCAAGGAAGGGGAATAGGATGAGGAGGTCGTCACTGAACAACTTATAGACCAAAGTCAGCAGACAAGTCCAATGTTGAGTGCTACAGATGTCATAATTATGGGAATTATCATTCAGATTGTCGAACTAATTTAATAGACAAAGTGGAGAAAGAACCAACTTTGCAAAAAAAAAAAAAGGGAAGAGATGTCTCTTTTGATGGTGTGTTATATAAAGGACAAAACAAAAAAAAAAGACTTGTGGTATTCAGACACTGGCTGTAGCAACCACATGTGTGGAGATAAGAAGGCATTCCTTGACCAGGACGAATCATTCCGCGACACCATTAAGTTTGGTGATAACTCTACAGATTCTGTCATGGGAAAATGAAGTGTAACTATCGAAACCAATGGAAATTCTACCCACACTATTTCTAATGTTTTTTACATTCCAAATTTAAAAACTAACTTACTTAGTGTGGGTCAGCTGCAAGAAAAGGGGTATGAGATTTTTATCAAAGATGGAGTATGTTGAATACAAGATACAAAGTTGGGCTTAAGTGCTCAAATTAACATGACGACGAATCGTACGTTCTCGCCTTTTCTTCACAACACAACTCATTGATGCTTCTCAGCAAAATTGAATGATACGACATGGTTATGGCATTTTCGCCATGTTCACTTAAACTTTGGTGGATTGAAAATTTTACAGCAGAAAAATAAGATGACTGGTCTTCCTTATATTATCGCTTCCTCTAAATTTTGTGTAGAATGTGTTGTTAGCAAACAACAATGCAATCAATTCCCGCAAGAAAAATCATGGAGAGCAAATAAGCCACTGAGCTGGTCCACTCTGATCTATGTGGGCCAATAAATCCATCTTCCAATGGAGGCAAAAAAAATACAAAATCACCTTCTTTGATGATTATATTCGAAAAATATGGGTTTACTTTTTGCAAGAAAAATCTAAAGCTTTCTTAGCCTTTAAAATTTATAGAGTGCTTGTTGATAAAGAAATTGGCAACTTTATAAAAGTTCTTCATACAAATCGTGTTGGAGTATGGTGCGAAGCCTTCTGTCAAGAAATAGAGTTTCGAAAATTTTTTGGCCTGAAGTAGTCAATTGGAGTATTCATATTTTGAACAGAAGTCCCACTCTTGCTGTTCAAAATATGACACTAGAGGAAGCATGGAGCAAACAAAGATTGAGTATAGCTTATTTCAGAATTGTTGAATGTATTGCCTTTGCCCATATTCCAGACGCGAAGACGAAAGATAGACGATAAATGAGAAAAATGCTTTCTTCTTGGTGTTAGTGAACAATCAAAAGCTTATAAGTTATACAATTCTAGTACCAAGAAAATCATTGTTAGTTGAGAAGTTTTTGATAAAGAAAATTTATGGTCGTGGAACAACGATGTTGGACAACAAATTCCTACTAATTTTGATGAAGAGAATGAAGATAAAAGGCAGCAGTCTATTGAAAATGTGCAACAACCGGCAAGTAGTCAAAATGTTTGTACAAATGTTCATAGCCGACCTGCAGCTGATGTAGAAGAAGAATGAACTTGGCGTATTAGAAAAATACCTGCATGGATGATTGATTAAGAAGTACCCGACTCAAACGATTCTGAAGTCACTCACACATTTTGCTTTATTTTTAGATTGTGATCCTGTAGATTTCGAAGATGCTGAAAAAGAACGAAAATGGTGAAAGGCTATGAATACTAAAATTACGGCTATCAAAAGAAACAACACTTGGGAGTTGATAGAGCTTCCAAACGTGGAAAAGACCATTGGTACGAAATGGGTATACGAGATAAAGATTAAAGAAAATAGCGAAGTTAATAGATATAAGGCATAGTAGCTAAAGGCTATAAGCAGGAGTTTAGCATAGATTATAGACAAGTCTTCGCTTATGTAGCATAACTTGACACAATCAATCAGGTGATAGCATTGGCAACACAAAACTGGTGGCGCCTATCTTCCAGTTGGATGTGAAACTAGCTTGCTTGTAGATTTGGAAGAACTTGTATTTATTGATCAACCTCCTGGTTATGTTAAGATCAGTAATGAGCATAAAGTGTATAGATTAAAGAATACTTTACATGGATTG